CTTTGATATAAAATTTTACAATTTTTTGGGGTGTATTTTGTTAGCTTTTTTGTAATAGTTAGACTAGAATTTAGGGTAAGAATTGAATAAAAGAGTATATGTGGGTTTTGGTAGGTGTAATGGATCCAAATTAAGACCCCCAAATTCAGCATCAGCCAGATTCAGCATCAGCCGTGACAATATTTATCGCATCGGACTCGCATTTTTGGTTTTAAATAACAGTTTGCAACTTTACAGCTTATTTATATTGTCGAAGTTAAAAAGTTACCAAAATATTAACCTTGTCGGAAATTATTGAGATAGTAAGGAAATTTGATACATTGTTACACTATGTACTTGATACCATCTATAAACCTATTTTATTAAGATACATTATCTTTTATTTCAATCTCCTTCATAAAACACTATATATGCAAATGCAAAAATATGTATAATTGTATTTTTGATTATCAAAGTAATGATACGAATAAATCAACATGAGAACCTTGATTTTTGAACTGACCTGGTAATTCATTTCCGGGGAAGAAACGTCGTTCTAAACCGTCCTCCGTGATAATAGCAATTCTAACGCATCCGCCTGATGAACCATCTCGTGACATGGCCAAGGTAACAGCTGCACATAGGTAAAATTGTTTTATCGATATTATTATTTAGAAAGTTAAAAATAATCAACTAAAGACGTTAATGGCCATAGTCAATTGACCTGTTTTAATAATGTGACCGTTATTGATTAACTGGTCTCATCTTAAGGAACTAATTGATTTTTGTCAATTAATATCCATATAATAACTAACCATTTTTCACAAATTCTACGGCTTCTTCCTGTGACATATTCTTCCTAAAGTTAGCATCACAATAACCATAAATGAACGAAGATCCACTACCTAAGAGTTATATTTATAAAAAAGATCGTAATTAATGAAAATGAAATTCAGAGGAAACTGAATTCGCGCAAAGTAATTACGCGTACCTCCAATTGTAAATGGCTGCTTATGCAATGAACCACCTATCGGAATACTATATATAGTACCACCATTGTGTTTATCCCATCCCGCAACAATAATTCCAGCTAGCAGATGATCCTTATTTTGGTAACACAGCTCTTGGAACAAGGCGGCTGCAGTTTGTACCGATGGAGGTTCGTTATGCTGGACTCTGATTCATAAATTCATAAATTCATAAATTGATTTAAAATTCATTACATTCAAATATAGAATTCTTGCTCTCTTTTTAGATATAATACTTACGCATACATCTGTAAGTAATAACGGACGAGATCAGCGATAAATTGCGTATCTGCAGAGCTTCCAGACCGACAACAATATATTTTGTCATGAACTGGTGTTAACTTGTCAGTAACACGGTTGGCGATGTAAGAACCCAAGGTGGTACGGCTATCCGCTCCAATGACCACACCACCCTTAAACTCAACGGCCATAGTGGTCGTCTAAAAAAACGAACAAAATGATGCATATAGATATATGTGATAATTTTCTTTTACGATCCCTAAATTTAGTTTGTTCCATATTATTAAAATTCTGACGGTAATTTTAAGTAATCGCTTTACTGTCGCAAATTAAAAGTACCAAAAGTGCCCAAGTCGTTACAAAATATTAAATCATACCAACCCCCAAGTTAGCTTCGTTAGGTTTCAATGACATTATTTAAACTGTAAAAGTTTGTTAATGAAACTTTAGATTTCCATATGTATCTTTATTTTAAAGCTGATCTGTGTAACGTCGATCGGGTTTTTCATTTTGACTCATGATAATGACCCAAAGTACGGTCAAAAAATGTTTATTAGGTTATCCTCGTTTTTTTTGTTGTTCACCACGCAATAAAAAAAGACTTATGTCGGATACAACTCACTCCTCGGTTGTCAATACAACAAAACGTCTGAATAAATTACGTGAATTATTCAGCAATTATGATATTACAGCTTAGTACGTGTATTTAGCAAAAAATGCAAAAAAAATGGTCGTCTAAACTTACCTCAAACATTGAACCTTTTTTAGCATAATTCCTTCAGAAGACTCTCACCAGGTACAAAATTTCTTCTTTACATAAAGCTCTCCATTATGTAATTTGTTCTTTATGAAGGTTTTAAAGTATTCAATAGTCTGCCTGCGCATTCAATTTATTTTATTATTCATTATTATAAATTCTAGAGTGAATATGTTGCAGCCTGTGACGCTCGAAGGTCTTTCATTTCTGGCTTCACGGGTTCTGCAGGTAATTCGCCTTACAACGCGTATATTTGGCATATAATTCAAAATTCATCAAATGACGCTGTAATATATATTTTTCTTTTTAGGATTAGCTATAGTATCTAATGATGCTGCTGCACTTTTTACGGATGGTAGATATTTTCTCCA